AAGGTGACATTTGAGTTAAAGCCTGAAAGACATGAGGAATCATGATGGGAACTGAGTTCACGCAGTGGCAACAATGAGAGCAAAGTCCCTGAGGTGGGAATGTGCCTGGATCGTTTGTGGCGCAGCAGTTAGGTCAGTGTGGCGGGAGGGAGTGAGGGAAGGAGAGAAAGATGAGGGCTGGAGGTCAAATATGAGGTCCCCCAAGTCCTCTAGTTTTTGGTGAGAACTTTGACTTTCATCTGAGCTAGATGGAAGGGTTGGGGGGCAGCGTGGATCAAGGCGATCTCTTCTATCACCAAGAGGTAAAGTAGGGGACAGAAGTGGGGTGCAGCCGAGGTTCAGTGGCGTGGAGGTTTCTGCGCCGCTCAGTAGGGAGGGCTGGGGGCACCAAGGTCTCCCCTTGAGGCGGCGCTGGGAAGGCGCATTCAGCACGCTGGACAGCGTCCGCACGTTGCTCCAGGGGTGGAGCCTGCGAAGGCGGCCAATTAGAAGCAGAGCTCATCGGCCTTATCGAAGCAGCAGCTGCTTCCACATAGCTGATGTGGTCAAAAAGGAGCCCAGAGTGAGTTTTCCTAGAGGTCACCGTTCTGTTTGCTCTAACTGATCTGTAACATTTTGGGAAATGACAGCTCAAAAAACAAGAGCGGTGCACTGTGTGCACCCTATGCGACTGTGGCAGGCAGAGCCTACGATAGGATCCTATCAGAACCGTTTTCTAGGACGCAATGATGTAGAGGGTGAAGTCACTGGGCGGAGCCTGTGAAAAGCTTCTATTTGTAGTAGGGCCTGTTGATGGGGCGTGGAAAAGGCGGGCACTGTATATAGGGGTCTAGGGGCGAACTGAAGCGGTTGGAAAGGGCGGCATTTGCAGAAGCAGGGCCGAGGCAGGTTCCGAGATTGCTGCAGTTGCCCAGAGAAGTCCCTCAAATTGGGTACTAGGTAGTTCGCCTTAAGGAGCCGGTATTTGATGTCCCCGGACTGAGAAGGGCAGGAGTTAGACTTCTGGCCATGGAATGGGGAATCCCCGACCTCTGGAGAGGTGGGCGTTTCAAATACCTCTAACTTTGAAATAGGGGTCCCGGGAGCCTGGAGGGATTCTTTGGTTTATCCATCTGGGGGTGGGAGGGACTCCTGTGATATTTTTGCCCAACCTTCTCCCCAGCCCAGCTGCCAAGAGGCCGAGTTTAGGTGTCAATTCTTGGAACGTTGGAAAGGGCAGACAGGACGGCGACCTCTGGGTTATGCACTCCGTGGCCACTCCCTAGCCATTCCTGTTTGTCTCCCCACAGCAGAGAGGTGGTCTCCTGAGCCTGGAGCACTCTCCTTTCTATATCCTGAGGCAAGGCAACAACCCTTGCCGGGCCAATCTTCTGGTCTGGGACATTTGTTTTTACCGATCTTGGGTCTGTGAGCTCTTCCCTTACCAAGCCCAGTGGACTCTGTCACCTAAGTACCCCTGAATCTCACAGCTTGGATGTTCCAGAACTCAAGCCTCGTTGCTGGTCTGTTGCCCTCATTCTCACCTCTCCCACACCTCTATTCTCTACCCAAAAGAACTGTTCTGAAGCACTCCTCAGCCTGGGGTCTTCCCAGTTCAGAATCCCTCTGGCTGGCTGTCAAGGGATTGCACTGGGTGCCCCTTGCTGACACAGCAATACTTCTTTTTGCAAACAAAAAGCTTTACCCACCTGAGTATAGTTTCTTTATTCCTACCCACCAGTTGAATTTTTGTGCATGTTGCTGCCTCTGTATGGCATACCCTTCTCTTACCCTCTAACATACCCCTGGTCTCAGTTCAAGCACCCTGTCTCATTTGAAACACAGAAAGCCTTCCCTGATATTCCCTGCCCCGATGGAACAGGGCCCCCTTGGTGCCTAGAAGCTCCAAGAGGGCAGGGACCAAGTCCACTTCCAAGTTCCAGCACTCAGTACAGGAGTGATATATAAACCAACACCCAATAAACACATGTTGAGTGAATGAAACAATGAACACAGAAGTTTCCATTTATTCCAGAATGGGTTAGAACGAGCATCTGGGCCAAAAAGGCTTGCTGCTAAGAGCGCATAGCCAGCATGGGGCTCACACCCGGAGACTGAATCCTCAGCTGACAGCCCAGATGCAGTGTCAGGCCTCAGGGGCACGGCAGGTGCTGACTGCACAAGAATGGTCAATGGTTCAAGAGAAAGTGAATGCTCTGCCAGGGTAGTTGGGCAGCTAGGTGGTAACTTCCAGGACTGGACCACAGTCCAGAGGGACACAAGCCCCAGTGACTCTGCCAATCTAGAGGTGGAAATCCTAGATCCATTACTGCTCAGAGGTCTCCTTTGGTCCCAAGGCACCAATCCCAACAACCCCCACCCCCATCAGTCTAAATTTCTGGAAAGGCCCTGTCCCTCCCTCATAAGTCACCTTGGCCCACCATGCCCAGGTCCAGCTGTCTTGTCAATGGTTTGGTCTCCTTCCCTTCCCTCTAAAGGCATCCTGAGCCCTCTGGAGTGTAATGTCCAGTACTGGATCATCACCACCCCCACCCCAAGCCTATCCACCAAGCATCCTATCGTGATCAACTTGCTGAGTAACCATGTGGGTCGCTGGTCCTTCCTGCTCATGCTCCTGGTGATTTCTGCTGACTGAATGATGCATGACACTGTCCTCGAGCAACATATGGACCAAAGCATTGGAGGTGAAGCAGCAGCTCAGTGAGGCCCTACTCCAGGCTGTCTTCCTGGACTTGGAGGGCAACAGGCCTGGAAATGCCATGGTCAGCTTTAAATGGGTGATGCACCAGCAACAAGGGCTTCTCCATCATGCTCTAAGTGGCAGCCACATCTTCCTGAACCCAGCTTCCTGGAGTAGCAGGTCCTGAGGGTTGGGATATTGCAGTTGGTCAGCTGCATCACCAGGCCATCAGCACCAATGAGGTCCCCAAACAGCATTAAGGTGCCAAGGGATCTGTGTTCATCAGCTGTCCCCTCAGGATACCCACTGTGCTGCAAAGATGCTGCTGGCTCTGATGTTGTCCAGACCTGACCATGATGATCTTGGCTATGGCTGAAACTCCCAGGGCTGTGCCAGCAGCCCAGTGCATGAAATCTTCATCCAACCCTGTAATGGGCGAAACAGTCTCCCAAAATGGTATGTCCACATCCTAACCGCTGATGCCTGTGACTGACTGTACTTGTACAGTCTCTGTAGATGTAATTAAGGATCTCGAAATGAACTCATCCTAGATTAGGGTGGGCCCTAATTCCAATGATTCATGTCTTTATAAGAAGATGATGATTTGAGACGTAAGACTCATAATCAGGAATTTGAATGTGGTAGTGTTTGCTGTATGGGAAACTGACGATGAGGAGAGACCTGTGTTGACAAGGCAGATCCAGATTTTAAAGCATTTGGCAGGCGCAGCCAGAGGGCTCCTCCCTGAGGATTTCTGAGTGACGCAGACTGTCCAACGCCTGTATCATATCATCACAAACACAAGGTCCCAATAATGTTGCATGGTTTTTCCCAGCCCCTGTACACGTCTCGGAGAGGAGCTGGGGTGGATACCATTCCTCAGGTCTGTCTCCTCTCTCCACTTGTGCAGATACTTGAGGAATCCCAAGGCACTTCAGGCTGACCCAAATGGTTGCACTGTGGGCCACCTCTTGAATGAACTTCACAGGGCCCCTCTCCTTAGGCTGGACCGCTTGGTAGCTAGGACCTCCTCTGCTGCAGCAGAAAGCAAAAAGTTCCCAATGTTTTATTTTTCAGTGCAGAAAACCTTTCTTTTACCTCTCAAAGAAAGCAAGTCTTCATCCTTTGAAGGCACACTGGTGTTTCTGCCTCAGCTGAGTGATCCTGCATCAAGAATAGTTTGCAGCCCGACTGGCGTGGCTCAGCCATTGAGCATCGACCTATGACCCAGGAGATTGCAGTTCGATTCCCGGTCAGGGCACATGCCCGGGCTGTCAGCTCAAACCCCAGTAGACGGCCTGTAGGAGGCAGCCAATCAATGACTCTCTCATCATTGATGTTTCTCTCTCTCTCGCTCTCCCTTCCTCTCTCTGAAATCAACAGATATTTAAAAAAAAAAAAAAAAAAAAAAGATGGTTTGCACTTCTCTCAGTAGCCATGGTTAACCAGCACAGGAGGCCAAAGGGCTACCTGGGGCTTAGGCTGTGAACAGTGCCTGGTATGAACTTGCCCGGCAAGTTGACAGGGGTCCCTGCAGAGGGGCAGCCCAGGCCTTGCGTGCCCACAGGGTTCTTCCCACGCAGGCCACACCCTGGGACAGGGTCAGCTTTGAGAATGGCTGCTAAGGGGAGAGTTCCTCCACCTCCATACTGCGATGTATAAGTGTAGAATGTTCTACAGCATCTTTGGCTCCTACCCAGTAAGTGACATAAGTCTCCCAAGCACTAAAAAACTGCCTGGGATTGAGAAACGGTGCTCCTGAGAAACCTGCTGTGAAGAAGCTCAACTGGGCACTCTGTGAAGTTCTGGGTAGAGGAGGCACCAGGGACAAAGGCTGTGGCTGCAGCTGCCACAGAGACCCAACCCAGCACAGATGGTTCCACGGCTGGAGATTCACACATCTTGGGATGCCTCAGCCAGATTTCGATCAGGCTTTTTCAAATTAGGTTCTACATACCAAATGTAACCCGAGGTAACTTCAAATCGCACTTACACTACACCCAGAAATCATGGAGCATAAAACAAAACATGCTGAATTGTAGACGCAAAACCCAAACAGCAGCATGGGCCACTAGGCTGCTATGTAGACACTAGGGGCTGTGGAGCTCGCTGGGCAATAGAGGCTACAAGATTCCAGGTAACTGGTTGCTGGCCCTGGCCAACTTCAAGACCTTTATAAGCCTGGAGCTGGACCCTGGACCCTCTCTGGTAAACAGGGACCATCCTGTCACCCATGTCCCACTTTCTGGTGCTGGGAACAGAGTGGAGGAAACTGCCCATTGCGCTCCTGGAGGGTCAGACACCCAGGCCTACGACGGCGCAGTTTTCTTTCTTTTTCTTTATTTGTCTACATTCAGCTGAATTCAAATGTACTGCCTGAATGATCCAGACATACAAAAAAACCCCACTCTTTCCCACGGTTTTTTAAAATAAAATCTTCACTTATAAAACTGAAACACTAAAGCATTAAAATACAGAAAGCTCGTTTAACTCACTTCACAAAAGCATTAACAGATGAGGTATCCCTTCTGTAACTATTTCAAGACAAACTGAGTTAACACTAACACCAATTGTAAATAGACAGAGGGATACTGAACTGTAAGAACTCAGAAAACTCTACTCGGACAAAGTTGTAATGGCAACTAACAAACCACTGAAGACGTGGAGTCCCAAACACGGCTAAATATGGGTCACAGAACGGGTCACAGAGTGACCAGCTGCACCTCACAACACAGCAACGTGGACGGGGTAGGGCAAGAGGACCCAGAGGGGCCGCAGACATGTTAACTGTGATGCATAAAACTGAATTCTTACAACGAGGAGGGGTAAGTGCAGAAGGTACAAATCTTCACCCTCAGGGCTTTATCTGTACTGGTAGTTCATGCTGTGGTCTGCGTTCCTGCCGTAGCCTCCCTGTGATGACTGATAAGAGCTGGGAGGGCCGCTGTAATTCTGGCTGGACCCCGGGGAGTTGTAGTTCGACTGTGACGAGTAGCCTCCTGAGGGAAAGAGGGGGTGGGGATAAGTCCAGTCACAGAGATGTCAGCAATGCGAACTCTAACTGGGGCTGTCTGAGCACCAGGCTCTATTTGGCTCTTAGTATTGTCCGCATTTCTTCATGTAGGTACCAACATTTAGAGTAGGGCAATTTCTGCATCTCTGGCTTCTAAAAAGCCGAGAAACTAGAGGTATGCCTAAGTCGGTGCTTGCACAAGGCCTCATGCGCCCTCATCTCCTGCTTCCTGTTCTTGCCCCACACAGAATCCAAGAGGCAACTGCCACTGTGGTCCTGCCCAGGCTATCTGCCCAAGCCAGGCCACACCCCTCTTCACAGCCTCAGTGTGGCTCTGCCCCCCCAACACCAATGCTGTGCCACCTGCTGCTCCAGGCCCACCTTGTTTGCCTTGGTAGGAGCTGCCCCCAGAACCTCCTCCGTAGCCCCCATGTGACCCTGGGTTGTAGGATGACCCGCCTGAGCCGTAGCTGTTTCCGCTGCTTCGGCCTCCACTACCACTGTAGTCTGGGGGAAAGAGAACACAGTGTGGTTGGTTAAGAGGCCTTGTGCTACAGCCCTCGATGTGGCAGACCCTTGGCCAAGACCCTGGACCTTTGCAAATTTCCGTCTTGACTGCCTGAATTTGGCACAGGTCAGTCCCACCATAAATTGCCAGGGGCTGGCTAGAGTCCTACAAGGTCCCCACGCCCTGGATTGCCCTTATCACCACATTCTGAAGTTCCATTCCACCTTCCCACCTGCTTCTCCAACCTAAGCTTCCCAGCATTTCAGGAATTGCAAAATTAACCCAAGTCCCGGCTCCTGCTACTGAGTGTCCCATCACGAACCATTGTATTCCTACCCTCTCCCAGTTGGGCCACTGGCACAATGCAGCCCACCAGTTCTATGCATGAGGTGGAGGGAGAAATGGAGCAGGGAGCAATTCAGGCTCTTTTAGGGGCTGGATGCAACCTGGACTCAAGAGGTCACCTCAAAGTGGCTGGCCCAGATTCAGACTCTACCTTTGTGCCCCAGCCTCAAGACCTTATCCTGGAGGCCTCTGCCCCCAACTTCCAGTCCCTCAGCCAGAGGTGGGACAGTGTTGAGCTTCTGGGGAATTGGACGCCAACTCACTGAATTTGCTCTCGTAGCTGTAGTCGGAGCCGCCCCCGCCCCCGGGGGAGCTGTAGGAGTTGGAGTAGGAGTAGTTGCCTTGGCCGTGGCTATAGCCTTTCTGCTTGCCCTGTGGGGGGCCATAGTTGCTGTACTGGCTCTGGTTGTAGGACTGCTGCTGGCCTGGGTGGGACTGGTAGCCTGAGCCGTAGGAGGGCTTCTGCTGGCCCCCATGTGGCTGTTTCTTCCCGGCATGTTTCGGGGGCACTGGGGAGTTGTAGTTGTCGCCTTGGTAGTAGGAGCCGTAGCCAGAGGAGCCACCACCGCCCCC